TCTTCATATGAAGAAGATCACAAAAAGCACCACACTGAATGGTAAACGAAGTCTTCAAGACTTGACTAACAAAGGTACATATACAATTTTATAACTTAAGTTTGTATATTCAAGTGTTATTCATATATATGTCTGATGGGTGTGCATTATTTACAGATTATATATATCATATATTATCAATAATTTGTTTGATATATAACTAAAAATTTATTTTCAAGCCTGTGACATAACCGTTATAATTCATATGTAATTCGGTTATATATAAATAATAAGTAATACTAATAAGACTAAGTGTACAATTTGCAATATAAAATAAATAGATAAATAAATAAATAAATAAATAAATAAATAAATAAATAAATAAATAAATAAATAAATAAATAAATAAATAAATAAATAAATAAATAAATAAATAAATAAATAAATAAATAAATAAATAAATAAATAAATAAATAAATAAATAAATAAATAAATAAATAAATAAATAAATAAATAAATAAATAAATAAATAAATAAATAAATAAATAGCTTACTCAATTAAAATTAATAATAACATATTGGGCGTAGCATCCAACGATGTCTAATTAAACAGACATATTCACAGATATTGGCAATCTGGATCGGGAATTACCAATCCCAAACAAGTAAAACAATATTTGTAAAACCATATCTTTGACAGATTGTGGGACACAACTAATTCTCCATTATTGAAGTACATATACAGATTTGAAAACTTAAGCAATCGCATAATCGATTGCATTTGTATTCCAAATCGTACAAATATTTCGTAAATTACGAACTCAGATCAGACCAAACACTTTGAAAACAAAAAACAATTATAAAAAAATTATATAACAGATCGAGATCTAAAAACTTAGAGCAAAATACCACAAAAAATAAGAACAAACTCTGAGATCCTGAACTTATCACTCAGCTTTGGTAGATCTCTTGACGCTGTAAACCGATCGTCCAACGATGTCTGATTAAACAGACATATTCACAGATATTGGCAATCTGGATCGGGAATTACCAAGCCCAAACAAGTAAAACAATATTTATAAAACCATATCTTTGACAGATTGTGGCACACAACTAATTCTCCATTATTGAAATACATATACAGATTTCAAAACTTAAGCAATCGCATAATCGATTGCATTTGTATTCCAAATCGTACAAATATTTCGTAAATTACGAACTCAGATTAGACGAAAAACTTTGAAAACAAAAAACAATTATAAACTATTATATAACAGATCGAGATCTAAAAACTTAGAGCAAAATACCACAAAAAATAAGAACAAAGTCTGGGATCCTGAACTTATCACTCAGCTTTGGTAGATCTCTTGACGCTGTAAACCGATCGGTCAGCTTGCCACCGTCACTGAGTACGTTGGAGAGAAAGTACTTCACTCAAATGAAACACAACAAAGGCCATCGGAAGTAATATACAGAAGAAAAAAGTGGTAGATGAAGCATTAACGGCATGCAGATCATCGGAAGAACCGATGGTTGCTTAAGTCGGCCGAGAGTTTAAGAGATGGAACTGAAGGTTAATAGGTTTATCTGAAGGGTAAAGGGATATATATAGGGCGGGCTGCTTTAGGTTTGGGTAGGGTTTAAACTGTTGGGCTGGGTTATTGGGCCGAATTTAGCCAAGAATAAACAAGCATAGGCCTAGCAGGGTGTCATTTTTTGTCTAGGGCTAGGTTTAATTTTAATTGTTATTGGAACAATTGTAAATTGTATTAATATTGTTATATAATTCTGAAAAACAAAAATTCAAATTTTCTTATAGTATATGATTCAATTTTATTATTATTATTATTATTGATTATTGATTATTAATTAAAATTTGTTTTATTAAGATATCATCATTTCTAATATGATGTAATATTGTACAGAAAATTGTGATCCGAGTCACACGAAACATGTACGACGCAGTGATATTACTGCAGTTCGACATTCTTCGAGCACAACAACAGATCAAGAGACAAGACCAAGTAATGTCTTACATGAAAGCAATTACGGTAAAAAAATCTTCAATTTGTGTGTGTGTATTAATACACAATTTATTTTCTTATTATACTATTGTTTATTGCAGTATACTACATTCTACATTCTCACCAGTGTCATGCATGATATAAAATTTAATAGAGTCATGGTAATGTTTTTTATTTACCGAAAAAATACTGTTAAAAAAATCATACTATTGTAATGTATAAATTAGTGGGGGAAAAGAAAGTTATATAATAACTTCTTATGAAGAGCATGTATGATTGGGTCTGTTTACGTATGGTATAATTGAAAAACTTTTTATTACAGTTTCTTTGTTGCCGTTTAATGGGTTTTCAACCGTAAGGGCATCTGTCATAAAGTCTGCATCCCAAGCCTCAAACGTTGATAGAGGTAACCAAGAACCATTTAATAATAATGTATCTACAGAGGAACAAAATTCAGTGCCTGAAGAGTTGCATGAGGATGAAGGTGTGAAACTTTGATCTGCCACAAAGTTCAATGAATCTTAAAGTCCATCAAAGTAAAATTTACTTGACAATGACAATGTGTTTGTATTTTATTTTCCCGATAGATACAATGAATGATGAATATTGGAGCGTGGGTGATCCATCACACCATTGTTCACATTGTGGAGCATTGTTTTGGTATGAAGAAAGGATTGCTCGGAATTCTTCAAAAACAGATCCAAAGTATTCTTTGTGTTGCATGCATGGCAAAATAAAATTGCCACAATTAAAGGAACCCCCTTTGGAATTAAAGCGCTTCATTTATGGCACAGATGCAGTTTCTAAACACTTCCAGGATAATATCCGTTCATACAACAGTATGTTTTCGTTCACGTCCATGGGCGGAAAGATAGATAGAACGATGAACAAGGGTGGATCACCGCCAGTTTTTAAGCTGAGTGGGCAAAACTATCACCTTATTGGTTCTTTACTACCACAAAACGGAAATGTGCCAAAATTTGCTCAACTATATATATATGACACACAACATGAAGATGCTAATCGATTATCCTGTGTTAGGTAACTTTTAAACCCGTTATTACACATGTCTCATCTTATCATCAACTCACTTTCTCATTTCCTATTTATTGGTGATTTTTGTATATTTATCATTTGTATTTAGGGATGATGGAAAGAAGAACAATTTGCATGAACATATTGTGTCTGCATTGAGGAAAATGTTGGATAAACATAATGTTTTAGTGAAGTCCTTTAGGATGGTTAGAGATAAACTCGCTGAAGGTGGGGAAAAAAAGGTTTCCTTGAAGTTAATAGGTAGAAGAACTAAGGATGCCAGAACTTATAATTTACCCACGGTTTCTGAGGTGGCGGCATTGGTGGTTGGTGATTTTGATGAATCACTCGGCCAAAGAGATATAATGGTGGAAACTCAGGGGGGGTGTTTGAAAAGAATAAATGAGCTAAATCCTGCATATCTAGGGTTGCAATATCCACTTTTGTTTCCTTATGGTGAAGATGGGTACAGGGAGGATATACCATTTTCCGATACAGTTGTCTCAAAGACAGGGGGGCGCAGAAGCGTTAGCATTAGGGAGTTCCTTGCTTATAGATTACACGAACGAGAAAAAGAAACCTCTTTCATTCTGAAGAGCAGGAGATTATTCCAACAGTTCGTAGTTGATGGATATACAATGGTTGAGTCATCAAGACTCATGTATATGAGAACTCATCAAAAAGAACTTAGGTGTGAAATGTACAGAGGACTCACTGATGCGTTGCTAAGGGGTGAGCGAGATGCATCAGCACAAGGTAAGCGAATTGTCTTACCACCTACCTTTGTCGGTGGTGCAAGATACATGGTTCAAAATTATCAGGATGCAATGGCTATATGTCGTTGGGCAGGGTACCCAGATCTTTTCATTACTTTCACGTGCAACCCAAGATGGCCTGAAATTAATAAGTTCCTTTCATCAAGGAATTTAAATCCTGAAGATCGTCCTGATATAGTATGTCGAGTGTTCAAGATGAAGTTGGACGGTTTGATCAAATATCTAAGACAGAGCAAGATATTTGGAGAAGTTCGAGCAGGTAAAATAAATATGAAGTCTATAATATATGTGTGTGTGTCTGTGTGTATATATAAATAAATATTATAAAATGTATATATTAATGACATTGTTATATTTTTACGATTGCAGTTGTATACACAGTGGAGTTTCAAAAGCGTGGCCTGCCACATGCTCATATCTTATTATTCATGGGGAATGCTGACAAATTTCCCAACCCAACGGACATTGACCGCATTATATCTGCTGAAATACCAGATGAGACAAGCGATCCTCAGTATTATAAAGCGGTGTGCACACATATGATGCATGGACCATGTGGCAATGAAGCAAAGAATGCCCCTTGCATGGTTAATTCTAAATGTTCAAAGCACTTTCCAAAACACTTCAACGAGCAAACAAACATTGATGACGAAGGTTATCCCAAATATAGGAGACGAAATGATGGGAGAGTAATTGTCAAAAATAGTGTGCCCCTTGACAATAGATATGTTGTTCCCCACAATAGGTCATTGCTGATGAAGTACGGCGCTCATCTTAATGTGGAGTGGTGTAACCAAACGAGGTCAATAAAATATTTGTTCAAGTATGTGAACAAAGGGAATGATCGTGTCACTGCAGGGTTTTACGAGACATCAAGTACAGAAGACATGGAGAAACCTGTTGATGAAATCAAGTTGTACTATGATTGTCGGTATATATCCCCATGTGAGGGAATGTGGAGAATATATGGGTTTCAAATTCAGTATAAGAATCCATCTGTTGAACGTTTAGGCTTTCACTTCCCCAACGAGCAGTATGTTTACTTTGAAGATGATGCAAGTGTTAGTGATGTGGTGTTGCGTGAGTCTGTTAAGGAGAGTATGTTTTTGGCATGGATGAGAGCAAATGAACAGTATCCAGAGGCCAAGGACTTAACTTATGCAGAATTCCCTCAAAAGTTTGTTTGGAAGGATGCTACAAGAGAATTTGTACCTCGAAAAAAAGGTTTTGCCATAGGTCGTCTAACATATGTGCCTCCAGGATCCGGGGAATCTTATTATTTGCGCTGCATCCTTAATTTGAAACGTGGGCCTACAAGCTACAATGATCTAAGAACTGTAGATGGCATTTGTCATGATACGTATCGTGAGGCATGTTACGCTTTAGGATTACTGGACGATGACAAAGAGTATGTTGAAGGATTTACTGAAGGTAGCTTTTGGGCTTCTGCATGGGGTCTTAGGAAGGTATTTGTCATTTTATTGGCAGCAGATACGATGAGCAGGCCAGAATACGTTTGGGACAAATGTTGGACATTTATGTCAGATGACATTCTACACAGACAAAGAAGAGTTTTGATGCATCCAGGTACCGAACGATATAGTATAAGTCAATAACTATATATTAAGTATATAACAATATATATATATATATACACACACACACACACACATATATATATATATATATGTATGCAAATATATATTTAGATATATCTGTATATATATATATATATTGTTTTTAAAATATTTACAATTTAACGTACATTATCTATACGATATTCTTTGATATTCACATTTAACGTTTGTAATTTTAGATCTAACGTTGACTGAAGCTGAGATTAAGAACTATGCATTGAGCGAAATAGAGATGATGTTGAGGAGATTTGGTAGGAGCTTAAAAGACTATCCATCAATGCCATTCCCTACCATCAGTGACTTTGCCATGTATCAGAACAGGCTTATATTTGACGAATTGCAATACGATCGTGCTGCTTTACGCGAAGAACATGACAAATGCGTACACAGTATGAATGATCAACAACGTGATGTATACAAAACCATTATGCAATCTGTTGAAGAAAATAGTGGTGGGGTATTCTTTGTTTATGGTTATGGAGGTACTGGGAAAACGTTTGTGTGGAAAACTGTGTCAGCTGCTTTGAGGTCCAAGGGAGAAATTGTTTTAAATGTTGCTTCAAGTGGCATCGCAGCTTTACTGCTACCTGGTGGTAGGACAGCTCATTCACGCTTCGCGATACCAATCAATCCAAATGAGAACTCCACATGCAACATTAAACAAGGGAGTTCACTTGCGCAATTGATAATTAGGTGCAAATTGATTATATGGGATGAGGCGCCGATGACGCACAAACACTGTTTCGAAGCCCTTGACAGAAGTTTGCGGGACATCCTCAAATTCACCAATTCATGTAGCGGTGACAAACCATTTGGAGGAAAAACAGTGGTATTTGGGGGGGACTTCAGACAAATTTTACCGGTCATACCAAAAGGTACCAGACAAGACATAGTCAACGCAACTATTAACTCTTCTTACATTTGGCATGATTGCATTGTATTGCGTTTAACTAAGAACATGAGGTTGCAATCATTGTCTGATGATCGTGAATACGAAGATTTGGTAGAGTTTGCTCAGTGGATTGCGAGTTTAGGAGACGGGACTGCTGGCGAAGGTAATGATGGCATAGCAGATGTTAAAATTCCAAGTGACATTTTGTTAGAGTGTGGAGACGATCCCATTGCCACTATTGTCCAAAGCACCTATCCGGACTTTGAAAATATAGCCAATGATCCATCATACTTGCAAGAGCGTGCAATTCTGGCTCCAACTTTGGATGTTGTTGATGCTATTAATGAGTACATGACATCTTTGAACGTTAACGAAGAGTCAAGGACATATCTAAGTTCAGATAGCATTTGCAAATCCGACTCTAATGCGGATGTCTTGGCTGATTTGCACACTCCAGAATTTCTCAATAAAATACGTGCATCTGGAGTTCCAAACCACGAGTTAACTCTTAAGGTTGGTACACCAATCATGCTTTTGAGAAATATTGACCCTTCAATGGGCCTTTGCAATGGAACAAGGTTGATTGTTACACGACTTGGAAAGCACATTCTAGGTGCAAAAATTTTAGGTGGAAAATATGCTGATCATGAAGTTGTCATTCCCAGGTTAAGCTTAACGCCTTCGGATTCAAGGATACCGTTTAAGTTTCAAAGAAGACAATTTCCAGTGATGACCTCTTATGCCATGACTATAAATAAGAGTCAAGGTCAATCTTTGAAGCATGTTGGACTACTATTAAAAAAGTCGGTGTTTACGCATGGTCAACTTTACGTTGCAGTATCAAGAGTAACGAACCGAAAGGGTTTGAAAATATTGATTTGCAGTGAAGATGGCGAACAAACCGACCATACTGCAAATGTTGTTTACAAGGAAGTGTTTCGAAATTTGTAGATTGTAGAAATCTTACTGTAATATTTCTTTATCTCTACTTGCGTCAAAACATACTTATTACGAATCCATGAGTTTTAATTATCATTCTGTTAATTATAATGCGTCTCATCAACTTGCATACATTGATACATGAATCCTTTATTATACACAAATACAGAAATAAAACTTTTACATAATTTCTGCCCGTGCAACGCACGGGTGAGAATCTAGTTACGGTAATAAATTATGAGGAACTCCTATTCTGGAATTTTCTTATTATTTTAGTTCTATTTAGGTTAATAACTTTTTAAGTTATAAAGGAAGTAAGTTTTAAAAAGAGATGCGATATTTTATTTAGGGAGACGGAACTTATTTTCCAAAACTTCACTTTTTGGAATAGAATAGAATGTAATAAACATAATTGTCAAAGACGTGTCCAAAACTTGGCTGGCACGATCCAGAATTCACAAGTCCAGTCGAACTTTCTAGACGATCTTACAGAATTCATTCCCGGCTACATATAAAAAGGTCTCATAAAATATTGCCCCCGGTGAATTTACAGGATCTTTTGATTAAAGTCAAAGGCAAATAATATCTTCAGGTAAGCTGAAACGTTACAATTTCTGATGCAGTTTCCGCAATTACTGATAGGGTTTGATAGCAATGGGAAATTTTATCTGCTAGTTTTAGGCCGTATATACTCTCTTATTGTTGGATGTATCTGGATGCTGTTATGTCAGATCGGTTTTCACATGTGTAGAAGTAAACCGCCCGTATCTTAAATTTGAGTGTTTACATTCTTTGAAAAGCGTCCAATTTGCTCCGCTGTATATTTTGAAGTATGTGTGTGTTGTAACCAGTAGGATACAGAAAATTTAAACTATTTATTATTTGTGGCGTCGATATTGTGGGATGTGTTGATTGAGGAGAATGGTGAGAATTTCGGAATAAATGATGGGTATATTAGTTATATAGTTCACGATGGAGAATCTCTATCAATAGGTTTAGTACTTGGTAGTTATGTTATTTTTAGCCATATGATTCTAGTCTGGGCTCTGGAGCAGAGGTCTTGAGATTGGAGAAACCATCCTGAAGTCATATCATGAAGTGGGTTCTATTTGATTATTCACATGCCATTTGGAAAAAATTGAACTTATTTTCATTTCTTTTTATTCTTGTGGAGTTGCTGTAGTTGGTAAGGGTTTCAGCATTCTTGAATGGAATGTGCAAGATCCAATATGCACAGTTCTTGACAACTCCACAATATTTGCTTGAGATAATACGGGACTTGTTGGGCTAAAACACCCCACAAAGAGCTTATCATTAAGTCTTGTTCCTTTTAATAACATCGATTTGAACTACATCTGCTGTTTTTTGTTGTTCTTTGACTTCGTTCAATTGCTTGGATAGTCAGAGTTTAGGTTTTACTCATCCTTGGGCCAAGTGTGCAAATTTAACTCTTATATGAGATGACAATTCATGTACTTTCTTCTCCGTGCAGTAGGGATTGAAAATTTGAAATTGCACATAAGGTGTTCTTGGTTTAACATTGTAGTATTTGACTGTTTTATTCATTGTCTACTATGTGAGGATATCAGTCAAATTGTCATATTTTCTACCAAACAATGCACTTATTTCACATATTTGATTAACTATGTTTATTGAACTGGCGAGTAATAAAAAAGAGAAAACACCGTCCTTTTGAAGTTGAAATTATTGCAATGAAGCAACATGTCACATACACATTCATTTAATCATTTTAAGACTGTTTTGGATGTTTTTATGGTATCTTATTTGAAATTCCATTTTAAGAGGCCGTCTGGACTCTGGAGCACCCAAGATGGGCTGATAGGCCTGAAAGTATAAAAAAATCGCCAAATAACTACTGAACGGGCTGTTTTGGCAGAATTTTATAATCAGCCGAAAAAACAAAAAGACGCTTTACCCTTCTATTTATACCTGACATATTCATCTTCTTGGGTGCCTCATAGTTTTGAAGACTTCCAGATCGAAGACTTCTTGCTTGGCTGCTCCATATTCATCTAAAGGTAAGCTGCGCTCTATCTTCATCTCTTCTTTAATTCTTTGCAAACTCATGTTTCTCTCCTAGTTCTTCTTGGAATATATGACAATGATATATGGTGATTATTACTGGTTCATAGATTTCTTTTCTGATATTTTCTAAATATTATCTTTAAAAGAACTGGTATGATGTTATTTATTGTTATAAAATGCCCAAGAGTTGTTAATGCCATGTTGTAAGAGTAATTGAACTGGTCTGGTGATATTTTTAGGAAAGAAGAATTACACTTTTTTTAATGAAAACATTAGTCTCCTTTAAATCCTTTTACGTATTCCCCCACAAATGGAAGAAGTAATTGTGAAACATAATATGCATAGGATTATATGCTTCATAAATATCACTGCATCTTCAAAGAAAATCCAAGTAGTGAAAATAAGAGAGGGTACTTCTCAAACCAGATTATCAATAAAGGGTACAAATGAGAAATTATGTAGCTAAAGACTCAATCCAGCTACCATGATTCTGAAGCTAGAGGCCTTAGGCCAGAGAGGTTTAGTCCCTTGTAAATATAACTGTGGATTTATTTAGACATTTGGATTACAATATACTATGTAATTTAATGCAAGACATTCAGCCATTGTTTAGTCAAATTTTACTCCAAATAAGCTCTGCACTGTTACTGACTATAACATGGGCCTTAGATATATCCAATTTTTTGTGCAACAATACATTTTTTTTTACTCCAGGGGGCTTCTGGGGGAGGGCGGCTGGGGGAGCCTGGAGTAATCTAGGCTGAAACTCACTCCATTGAGTTTCGAACCCGAGACCTCCCGTAAGAGAGAGTGAGTCGGCGACCAGCTGGGTTGGACCACTTTTTCTTTGTGCAACAATACATGAATCCATATATATTCATCTCAATGATGAATGAATATCTCTTGCTTTGAGCATACAATTTAAAATCAAACGGGCCATTGCATACCGTGTTAATGTACTCTTTGGTTGATCAGTCATCCAGTCCTTGTCTTGTTTCTGTGTGAGTCAAAACTTAATAGTATCTTCTCTAATATCTTTATCTGTTCACAATTCAAAGGTATTTTATTCATGATGTCATTTGGATTGTGCTTCTGACAGCCCTATCAGTCAACTTGCAGTATTTTTTGCACTACTGAAATACGAAGATCTATTGAAGCGATTAAGATGGCAGAGGTACAAAATACGAAGATCTAGTTTGGATAGATTTACTATTTTTGGATCTTTTAAATATGGAAAGAATCTAAATCTTGGATTGCAACAGGAAGGACAAAAGGTCCTATTAAATGTATATGACTTAAGCCAAGGACTAGCTCGCCAGATGTCTGCTGCATTCTTAGGAAAAACAATCGAAGGCATATGGTGAGTTCCCCATTTTAAGTGCATACCTTGAACATCTAACTGGTACCTCCTCTGTCCCTTTCTACTTCCCTGGATTTGTCTAGGCTCAAAGTTGAAGAAAGTAAAAATAGAGTAGTTGAGATCTATGTGGGATGTAATGGAAGGATATGACCGCCTACTTTTGTTACTTATAAGATAGAAGGATGTTGGCATTAACATGAACAGATACTAATAGGTTTAGAAAAATATTCCAAAAAAATATAAAAGGAAAGAAAGATTTTTTTTGGCATGGCTCAAAAAGAAAATGTAGGAAGGTAAAGCTGGCTGAGTATTAATTTTTCTACCATTGGAACATAGAAACTAGGGATGAGTTTAGCCAATCAATTAGATATAGCTGACGAATTAGCTCGATATTTAACCACAACTTGTGTAACTGACCAATATGGAAACAATCTCTGCAGGCACACTGGCGTAGTTGTTTATGGTAATGAGTATTATTTCGGAGGTGGGATCCAACAAGCTCCTGTGGGTAGTACACCATATGGAACTCCATTGAAAGTTGTAGACCTTGGATCGACGCATCTTCCGAAGGACGTTTTTGAAACATATTTGCAGGAGATTAGCCCCCGCTACACTGCAGAAACCTACAGTTTGCTGACCCATAACTGCAATAATTTCAGCAATGAGGTTGTTCAGTTTTTAGTAGGCGCAACCATTCCAGAATATATCTTAAACCTTCCCAATGATGTCATGAGCAGCCCGATGGGTGCTCTCATGTGTAAGTTATTTTTACTTTCATATCTGTTTATTTGGAACTACATGTTTTTAAGGAGGATGTTTAGTCCAAATGAATTTGGATTGGTGACATTATTATATACTATGCTGAGCTCCCTTTTTAATGACAAATTGACAACTTCGTAAGTTTAGTGATCTTTCTGCAGAACAGTTACACTGCATCATGAATACGAATTAAAAAAGCATATAGTGCAAAATTGAAAATGAAATAACAACTCTCTCCTTTTTCTAAATCACTGTCTCTTTATGAATTGTAAGTAAGCTGGGTGGGTGAATTAGGGCGAATACCGAAGAAATTAGTTAATGCTTTGTGAAATTCTTAACCTGACTTAAATTTAGAAACATTTGTTTCACTGTGTTGCTTTTTCTCAAGTGGAGGGTGTAATAAGGGAAATTTTGTTGTTTAACGGCTTACTCTGCTACTTTTTTAATGGCAGTGCCAATGATCCAACAGATGGAATCCACATTAAGAGCAGGTGCGGTTCCACAAGCACCCATGTTTAAACCATCAGCAGTTGCCGCTAGTGTCACCACCCCTTCTCAGCCAGAAAATGCTAGAAGCAAAAAGACTCTACCCGAAGACACAAAAATGCAGGGTGTTGATTCTGGGGTGCAAAATGCTAAGAGAGAAGGTGCAGTGTCTCATGCAGCATCTGCCAGTGTTGCCGTGGATCCACTTGGAGATGCTAGGAGCAAGATACAAGATGAGATTGCAAAAGAATTTGCTGCAATTATGGCAACTGGGACGCTGCGTGCTAGTGAGGCTGCGGCTTTGGCAACTAAAAAAGTGATGCAAAAATATGGACACACCAATGCTGCACCCAGCTAAGATACAAAATTTATTGAAATTACTTTAAATAGGACAAAAAACGTTCCTATATTTCAAAATAGGACTAATGTATTTTTTTCCAAAATAGGACTAATTACTGCATGTTTTGGTAGTACCAAACTTTAAACATGGTGGTCTTTTCCAAACTTGTCGGTAATTACTCCTATTTTGGGATTATAAACATGACAGTCCTATTTTGGAACAATCAAAACTTTTTTACTCCTATTTCAAGAATTTCCCCAAAACTTATCATTATTTTAGTGTGTATTTCACAACTATAACTATATTGCTGATGGATATTCAAATTGATGGATATTCAATTGGGTATGTTATTTGAAGGCAATCACTTCAACACTATTACCCCTCTTTAAAAAATGTTGAAGTTCTCTTTTGTCGTTTATTTTCTTTTGCAATACCAATTTACTCGTGAAAGATGACATTGGCTGACCCATTAATCTCTTGGGGTAGGACTTGAAATAACAGGAGTATGTCACCATAATATGATTATTTCACCCTAATATGATTTGTATGATTCACATCAACCCCTGAACTCTGCTATCCAGACGGCCAAGATGTCAGGTGCAATAATGTTAGAGAAGAAATGTAATATATATTAACACTAAAAAATAACATGCATAATGTTAGAGAAGAAATGTAATATATATTAACACTCAAAAATAACATGCATAATGTGGATAAAAATGCCCTATCACCTCTCAGAATGCAGAGGAAATGTTAACTCAACGGAGACGCCAAGTAGGCTCAAAAATCAAAATAGCAAAAATTAAAAACTAATCAGCTCATGAGAATAAATGTTATACAAGATTTTATAGATTACATGCTTGATCTGGCAACAATGCCCCCCTCCTTGCCCCCACCTTGGGTGTCCATCTAATCTTGTTGCAGTGCGTGCTCTCCAAATCCAATGTATAGTGTAGCACTGTAGCAAGAGGAGATCTCGCTGCCTTGTATAGTCCTTCCTCATTCATTTCACCGCACTTGTCAAAGTGTTCATCTCTCGGGTTGATGCCCAATCATTCCTTGATTCCACCCCAAACTAGGGGTGGACTCGGGTCGGGCCAACCGGCCCGTACCGGTACTGTTTGTACCCGGCCCGGTAACCGGTCTGGGTGCCGGTTCGGGCCACCCGACCCGGTCTGATAGCGGTCTGAGCTTGGGCCCGCTTATAAGTGAACCGGCCCGGCCGGCCAGGGCCCGGTCCGGGCCTCAATGGTCATTTTTTTTTAATAATTAAAGGCTCTATAGCTGTTGGGACTGTTCCCAAACGGCTCTATAGCCGTTGGGGGCATAGGGGGGGGGGTCTGGGGGGTTAGGGGGGTGGGGTATACAAAAAAAAACCTATTTATACTCTTATTTTCTATACATTTTTTATACATCTTCTTCTACAACTCTTCCTACTCTTTAATTCTCTATTCTCTCCATCTCTCATATTCAATCATCTTCATTCTTCATCTTCTCCAAATTCTTTCTACATATATATAATTTATATAATTATTATATCTACTTATATATTAATTATCTACTTATAAATGTATACTTATATATACTTATACACACTCATATTATAATTCTTTACACATTATATATACTATATATACTTATACACATTCATATTTACTTGATATTTAGTTATTATCCATACTATTGTTATTTACATATTACATTTAGTTAATATATACTTATATATATATATATATATATTAAAGTATTAAGTATAAGTGTATTACCCATCTTATAGTAATATACTTATATATTATATACTATAAACATTATATTATATATTACTTATAATATATTTACACATCATATATACTATATATACTTATACACATTCATATTTACTTGATATTTAGTTTGTTATTTACTTATATTTACATATTACATGCATTTAGTTAATATATACTTATATATATTAAAGTATTAAGTATAAGTGTATTACTCATCTTATAGTAATATACTTATATATTATATACTATAAACATTATATTATATGTTACTTATAATACATTTACACATTATATAAACTATATAGACTTAGACACATTCATACATTTTATAAAAGTAGATAATTGTTATACTTGTCTTTATCTATTAAATTAGTTAATTGTTACATTTCTCTTTAAAGAAAAAAAATTAGTTACTTGTTACATATCATTTTTCATTTAATATTAGTTAAAATAGTTACTTAGTTAATTGTTACATTTCTCATTAAAGTAAAAAAACTAGTTAATTTTTACATTTGTCATATTAATATTAGTTAAACTAGTTAATTGTTACATTTGTCATAATAATACGGAGTATTAGTTAATTGCTACATTGCTCATTGAAGTAAAAAAAACTAGTTAGTTTTTACATTTGTCATATTAATATTAGTTAAACTAGTTAATTGTTACATTTCTCATATTAATATTACTTAATTGCTACATTGCTCATTAAAGTAAAAAAAACTAGTTTATTTTTACATTTGTCATATTAATATTAGTTAAACTAGTTAATTGTTACATTTCTCATGTTAATATTAGTTAATTGCTACATTGCTCATTAAAGTATTAATTAGAAGTAGTTCGATTTTTTATCAAGGAAAACAAATTGTTACATTTGATATACTCATATTTTAGTTCGAATTTGCTATAGTTTTCTTAGTCACATTTTATTATTACTATTGTACTCATATAAAATATTTGATATCATTTAATATTTGTTCAATTTTAAAGATGGACCGTGGTAGACATTCTGTAGATATGGGTAATCTCCAATGCAACCGCAAGAGGGAGATTGCGGCGACTCGTCCTACTTCACGCAAAGGCAAAGGTAAAGCGCGGGCTGAGTCTTCTTTTCAAAGTCGAGATGATTTTGAAACGGATTACCAACGTAGAGATGATATGGCGATGTCCGACGAGCAACTACAAAACCTATTGTCCCAAAATGATCCACGCTTTGCACAAGAACAACAATTCCCGACAACCATTGACGAAGATGAGCTCGAGGATGAGGATGCGGAGGAGGACGAAGTGCGGGGGGGGGGGGGGGGGGGGACAGCACCCTGGATGATGAGCAAGAGTTGGAGGACGAGGGGGTTTCATCCCAAATTGGTAAGAAATCTAAATCTCCTATTATTGAAAACAATTTTACAAAAAGGAAAGACAAAAATACCGATAAATGGTACGCAAGTTGCAATCATTGCAACAAAGAGTATAGTTTGGGAACTTCTGGCGGATACGGGAGTCTGACAAGGCATCTTAAGTCCGCACACTTTGTGGAGTATGCGAAAATAGACAACGACAAGGGGAAACAAACACAAATATCGAGGTTTGCAAATTCTAAACCCTTTGGTAATTTCTCCTATGATGATAAAAAACATTTGACTGTTATGTCTCATTTAATTGTTGAAGAAAATTTACCCTATATTTTTTCCGAAAGTCTTGCTTTAAGAGATTATGCTCAAGGTACTTTAAATCCTCAATTTAGAAATTATAGTCGCAAAACGATAAAAAGGAAGTTATAAGGCAATATTACTTGGAAAAAGAAAAATTACAAACATTTTTCGCAAACTTTGATGTAAGTGTTAGTATTTGTAGCAATATATGGGAGGATACTTATCATCATTTATATTATTTGGGTCTTACTGCACATTATATTGATGATGATTGGAATATGCATAAACGCGTTCTTGCTTTTCGTGAATTCAATGGTCGTCACACTGCTGATAATATTTATATTCTCATTGAGTGTATTTTAATTGAGTATAATTTGATTGATAAAGTGTTTGCTGTAGGCCGGTTTTGATAATGCTAGTAATAATACTGTTGCTATACCTAGATTGCGTGAATTGTGTGGTGCTTCTACATTGATGGGTAGGTTTTTCATCAACGTTGTGCATGTCATATTCTAAATTTGTGTGTACAAGATGGGTTAGCGGCATTAGGAAATGCTTTGGAGGTAGTGAAGGGGGAAATTAAATTGATTTGGGCTAACACTCCACTAAAAATGCAATGGCGGCAATATTTGAAGGATAGACCTGTCAATTATTGTGCTTTTCCTAAAAATTTGTCTATTCATTGGAATAGTACTTATAACTTAATTAAAGTACTTATTAGATATAAAGATCATTTTCCTTCTTTTTAAAGACAATCTTGTAACTATATTATAAACCCGGCTGACATCGACACTTGTGAAAAAATTGTTAATGTTTTGGTATATTTTAATAACGCAACTGAAACTTTTAGTCATGTTTATAAACCTACCGCAAACGAATTTTTTGTTGAAGCTGTTAATCTCGTCGGCGCTTTTTGTGAATTTTCCGATGCCGCTTACATTAGTTATTTTTGTGATTTCATGAAACAAAAGTTTTTAAAATATTATTCACATATTCCGCATATATATGGTATTGCATTTGTTCTTGATCCTCGTTATAAACTTGCTTACTTGGGAACTTGTATAGATTATTATTATGCTTCTTTTTTTCCAACTCAAGAATTCGATGATAATCCCATCGACCCTAAACAAGAATACAACGAGGTTAGTAATTTATTTCATCAATTGTACAATGAATTTCATGCACAATATGATAATGCACCCCCTTCCATGCCGCGAACATCTTCTTCATTTAAAGGAAAATCACTTTTAAAATCTGTATTTGGTTCTCTTTTGAAAAAAAGTAGAGCAACTCCCGCTACTGAACAAAGCTCAGTTAACGAGCTTTTTTTGTATCTAACATTGAATGTTGATTATGAAGTTGGGGATGACTTTGACGTTCTTAAGTGGTGGAAGGAAAATGAAAGAACGTTCCCGATTTTATCAAAGATGACTAAGCCAGTGCTAGCAATGCCGATATCAACAGTTGCCGTGAAACAAGAATTTAATGCGGCCGGCAACGTCCTAACCGATTATAGAACGGGGTTGAGCCCGAACTCTCTTGAGACGCTGGTTTGCTTCCACGATTGGTTGAAGGCCCAACGAAGAACTCAAGAAGTGACCATCGCTCCCACCCGCCACTTTATGGAGGAAACAACCACCGAAGGCAGAGATTCCGATTGATTATTTATTACAAAATATATTGCATTTATTAAATTCATCCTAATTCTCAATTGTACTTCTTATTTGAAATAAATATACGTGAATTTTTTTATATTATTGTGTACATCAATTCAATAATCAACAAAAAAAATTTTGTTCAATAATCAATTCAATAAAATTAGTTTGTAAACTTGTACTTCATATTTCAAATAAATATGCGTTCATTTTTTCATATGTACCACTTTTCAAATTAATTAATTGGTTACAAACTTACATGTTACAACTTAAAATCATTTTTCTAAAATCTAAAGGCTGTTTTTAAATTAAAAATACATTTACAATATGTATTTTGTTTAAATACTTATACACATATTTTGTATCATTTGTAAATTATAAATCAAACCACTTTTCTAAGTAAAAATAGCTTTACTTAATTCATTAAATTAATTAACTTATTTTACAATATGTATAATTTTCAAAAAAAAAAAAATTAAAAAAATTTTAAAATACAAAACAGCTCCCAAACGGCTATATAGCCGTTGAGGCTTTGGGTGGGGGGCAGGGGGGGTCCCGGGGGTGGTGGTGTTGGGAGTGGGGTTCAAAAAAATCTATAAATACATCTATTTTCTACCATTTTTCTACACCTCTTCTCCAACTCTTTTCCAACTCTTCTCCATCTTCATCTTCTCTTATTATCCTACATTCCTACTTATACATCTACCATTTTAAAGATGGAAAACAATTCTTCCCTTATGCAAAACAATTTTGATAAGTGGAAGGACCCGAAGACCGGACTGTGGTGGGTAACTTGCTAGTGGTGCAAGAAAGAGTGTTGCTTGGGGCGTTCACACGGAGTCGGGATGCCAATAAAACATATGAAGTCATGTTACAAAGGCAAAACAACAACCAACGGTAGCGGAAATCCCAATTGATATTTATTAGAAAATGTATTTCATATTGTTATTTTTTTCTCAATTCTCAAATGTAGTTCCTATTTCAATTAAATGCACTTGAAATTTGTTTTTAATAAGAAATTGTATAATCTATAATTAAAAAAAATTAATAGGCCCGGCCCAGCGGGTGGCCCGACCCGTGACCCGGGCGGGTGACCTGGCCCGAACCGGCACCGGCCTTAGCCCGGGCCGGTCTCGGGCCTACCTATATCTGAACCGCGGCCCGGCCGGTCCTAGGCCCGGCCTGGGCCCGACCCGGTCCGGGTCCATCCCTACCCCAAACCTTGCACGTAAAAGTGTAAAGAAAAAATAGGTGTGACATCGTTTCCGAGTCATCCTTACTAGGGCTGCACAAGAATAACCCGAACCCGCATAACCCGCCCAACCCAACCCTACCCGACCCTATTTATTCAAGTATTTGATTTTTAAAAGTATTCATGTGTTAAATATGTTTGAACCCGCACCTAATGGGTAGGGTTACGGATTTAAAATCTCAAACCCGATAGTACCCGACCCGACCAAAGTTCATTTTACTATTATTATGCTCCAACGTTTTCTTTGATAATTTCAAATTTTCAATTTAAGACCAATGTGCTCTATCTAGGACTTTATGATACTAGTATCTCACCCGTGCATTGCACGGACTATAATACGTAAACATTATAAATGTAAATATATGAACATATTTTTAAATTTGACCCCCTAAGATTGAGATAAAGGAGAATGACACGATTTTTCAAAACGAAGAGTTGGTAAAATTAGCCGAAAACCCTTTATAAATGGGACAATTATAGTGGAACGAAGGAAATTATTTATTACAAATAATTATTGAAATAATTATAGTGGGACAATTATAGTGGAGCGGAGGAAAATGAGACAATTATGGTAAAATAATAAATATTAAATGTTTGATTCACAGGCACGTTACACATTATTGAAAACTTACTTACCACAGATACAATATAATAAAAATCTAATTATATTTGTGTTATGTTACGGTAAACGTAAAATAGGTCATTGATTGGACTTTTCATTAAAACCCTACAATAAAAACTACGTGCTACCTCCGTCCCCCTAAGTTTGGGACAAAGGGGTGTGAATGTGTGATGTTTTTAAGAAAAAGTGGAATTGTGTGATTGGTATTGAATGGATAAAGTGTAAATAAAGTAGAAATGAATTCTAACCACTCAAATATTACTTAATATAGTATGAGACAAACTTAATGGGACGGACGAAAAAGGTAAAACGGGACAAAGTTAGAGGGACGGAGGGAGTAGTACTTAAAGATTTAAGACTTTGCTCGAACATTCATTGATTGGACAGCTTGAAAGAGAATGTTCCATTGGTATGCTATAGGTGGACACTACACTTTTTTAGTATTCCTACTGTCCAACCAATTCTAATGCCTTGGTTGACTGGGCAAACTCGATCTTATATTTTGCAAATTTTGTAATTAGATTGTGCACTAATATTTAATGGATAATTGGTAAACCAATATGAACTATTAAAAGCTCAGTTATATGAAGATATAAGTCATATAACATCAACTGCTCTTCATGGAATACAGGTGCATCCTTTTCAGTTTAAAAAAGTAACAAAAAGTTTACCCAAAGCTAAGTAATGTGAAGGTACAAATCTCCTGTATGAGGACAAACTTTAAATACAACCCTGGAAGAATGCTAAATCAGTCACAACAGGAAATGAGCCGTTCAAAACAATCACAACAAATAAACTGTCACCGCCAGGAAAAAAAAAGCAATGTCTTGATCATGTCTTAGTGTACTCTCAAGTAATTCATCTAACTTCTATGATTTTTCTCATCTTGTCGTATCTCTTTATCATCTCAGCATTCTCAAGAATGATGATATAAAAAAACCAAAGATATCCAAGACATAAAAAAACAAAGTGCTTATAAAACTTTGTTACCAAATGTTTATTGAAAGTTGAAAGTTTTTAAACAATATTATTAAAGTGTAGTGTTTGTAAACCAAACCATGATTTCTTGGTCCGCAAGCCCCGAGCCAAAGTTGAAGAAAACTTATCGGTCTTCTTCTTCCAAAAGTCCGCAAGCTGCAGTGCCAAAGTCCAGAGAAGCACAGACTGGCAATCCGCCACTCGCCTCGCCACTCCCTACTCGAAACTGTCTCCACTCCCTCGATATGGCTGGTTTCCCTTCTGCCCCGTTAATTTTGGCGTCATCTCTCGGTTGGCCACCGTCACTGAAAAGGAAAGCTCCAGGCCCGCCTACCCAAGATTGGAAAACTTGTTGCTGAGGCACTGGTCGCCACCGTCTATGGCCCTCCGTTGATGTCGCTGCAGTGGATGGGACACTGCTTTGCCTCCTCCACGCCCGATGCTTCGCCTCCTATCAAGAAGTCATAGCGTTGAGAACAATTCATATTGCATTTCAGAAATAATTCTGGTTACTGTACGTGTGACCTTTTTAAATGTAGTATTGGAAACACATATGCAAACATCTCAGTAGCTAGAAGAAGCTAGTACATTCCTCAACATATTTGCTAGGGAAGTGTGATTTCTTTTAGATTAAATTTGCTGACTGTTATGTTCTTTCTAAGGATGATTAAAACTTTTTTTTTTAACTTTTGTATGCTTGCTATGAATATGATTTAAACTAATTAGTAAATAAGTGTATAAATTTTCATATTTTTCTATTAGCTTGAAGTTGTTATGATTGAAGTTTCAGGATTTAGAACACATCGCTCACATGTTCCCAAAATTGTAATCCAAGGATTTGCCAAAATAAATATACAAAACTATGCCACAAATCTCTGGAACTTGCCAAAATTGCTTGCTAGATACACGTCAACAACCATTACAAAGAAAAGATAAAAGCAAGCAATCTGAAACTTTGAGATGGGAGATAAAAGGATTCTGCCAAAATATATAAAGAAAACTGAATAAACACTTATAATGCAATTTTTATTAGGAAATTTCAATAAAGTGTTTGGACCATTTTAGAATTGGAGATAGCTACTTACCGTAACAGTGAAATGAGTTTCATATTCATCCATGTTTTGCTTCTCCAAAGAGTAAGTATTATTTGTTAATCTAACCTGAAAAGGAAACATAAGTACTCAATGAAATGCAATAAAGGCAAATTATGTTGTAATAATGCAGGAATACCCAAGACTCTACATACCCAAAATACATCACTCAGAACCAAAATGGTGTAACAAAGATCATTTATATCACATTTACGGAGGATGGTGGAAGATTGTTGATGAACCAAAAAAAGAGGAAGATTGTTGGCTTCAAAAGTTATCTTAAAAAAGAGGATATTGTTCTGGAAAAAACTTTAAACCAAAAAACAGAACTACTTACGGAGGATGGTGGAAGATTGTTGATGAAGATCTATACAAATAATAATCTTTATAAACACAATCTTTAATACTACTTTCAATAATGAAATTTAATGAGAACATGTATACACTACCTTCAGATGTGGGCTATGGCCCCAAGAGTGCTGTATTTTCACCAATACTATTGGTCCTTCATCACCGATGGTCTGCATAACAATATAGTTTCAGTTCAAACCATGAAAAGGAGCATTAGTAATTTTGTATCATATACCACAAAACAGGTAGAATTCAAATCAACCATCACTTTTATCACCAAAGAACAAAAACTCATCAACACTCATCAAATCACTTTTATCACTTTTATCACCAAATCACTTTTAGTAATTTAGTATCATATGAAACTGACAACTATCTCAACACTCATCAAAGAACAAAAACTCCAAATCAATGCTAACATAATAGAATCACACATTTGATGCATGTGTAATGAAGCACCATAGATCAATTTAATTTGAGAAGGAAATGATATGAAGTGATCTGTCCACATAACAAAGACAACAATAGAATTCAGAAATCTATAATTAAAAATACCTAAATAATTTATTCATTAAAAATGAGGTATATGAAGTTCTGGAAAGTAGGAACCCTATTTTAAGTTCAATTAAGAAAGGAATAATAGTTAGAGTAAGAGTACACTAATCATGATGATGATGGATGTAATGGGGGGTAATAGTAGGCATTTTTAGAGGTGAATTTTTCTCATGGTATTTAGAATTTCAGAATTACCATCTAATAACGCAAACATAGACTAATGCTTATTTAGGAAAAAAGAAAGAAAGATCACCTAAGCATTTTATCAAACATTACATAAGCACTTATACCATACAATATAGGTTCAGATTCTTAATTCATGAATGTGTATATCTCTCTGCATCTTTGAATATTGGTTAAGAAAAGAAAGCTAACCTGGATGCACCAATTGTTGAGCACCGTCAATCATTTGCTCATTGCCATGTCTGTGACCTTCTTAAAAGCTGATTTATTTAACCCAAGGAAAAACTGATTTATGTACATGTTATTATTACTTTTGATAAAAAGGCATAAACTGGATATATAAACTGCATAAATGGAAGATGTTTGTAGCCTTGCTAACTTACTCAGTTTTTCTGAGTGTTACCTATTGTTGTCGACGATGTTGAATTTATTCTCGATGCTCAGGGAATCGAAAGGACCACTTCTGCAGTTCTGCGGAAGCTGGAACACAAACTCCGTCTTGTAGCCATCGAACGTGTAAGCTTGGCATGGCTGGATCTGGTCGCATCTGTGCCACATCACCAGTCGTCGGCGCCCAATGATGAACACGCCGTTGCTAGCTGTTATTGATGAATATCCTTAGCCGATTGCTATCTCGATCCCCGGGGTCACGCCTGCTGGAGATGTTAGCGACTATGTACCCACGAAAAACTGATGATGCTTTCCACCGGAAGCTTCTGGTATGGTTTCAGCCGGGAGAACCCAATATGGCTCCAACGGATGCAGATTTAGAATCGATTGACCGCCAAATATGTGTCGAGAAGATCTGGATGCAGATTTAGAATAGGCTCTCATGGAAAACAAAAAAGAGTGTCAGAGTTAGAATCATCTAACAAATTTCAGATCACTTTGACTGGTTACTTTCATGTGAGCGAGTAGCTGCCCATTTGCCCATTGTCCAAAGGATATGTATGTCTTCGACGGCTGACGCTGGTTATAGAGTTACAAAATTGCCATGGGTACCCCATCTATACCCCATTTCCTACCCCATATAAAAACTCCCTTTTTTACCATCCTTTTTACCCCTTTTCTCTCACATCTCTCCTACTCCACCCACTCTCTTCTTTTACATCAAAACACCCCCCCTTTCCTTCTTCTTAAACTGCTACAGTACACAAGCCAACCTCCACAAACTTTCCTCCATCTTCTTGGATAGATATCATGGGGACTGAGGTGCGGCATTTGGACGAGTTCAGTGGGGAAAAGTTCAAGTGATAGGTTTGATATGGGGAGATGACGTGGGTGACGGTGGTAATCATCCAGCTCCGGTGGGTTTTGAACTGAATGCGACTTCAAGGGAAGAAGATGAAGAAGGTGTGGAAGTTGAAGCTTTGGAGAAGAGTATGTCAGTTTTTCTCATTTATTGGTATTTCGTTGGTCAGACAGACAACTTGCAATTGCAGCGTCTGTCCAGCCTAAACTGAATGTGGTTTCATACTTGTTTTGAACTGAACGTGGTTTCGTAGTTGGTAGAGTGGTACATAAAATGTGTGTGCTGCCAGACAACTTAAAATGTTTGTCTGCGTAGAAGAAATGTCTGTATTCGCTTGAGGAAAAATGTATATGTCTATGTATTAGTAATATTGAATCACTTGTCAGACAACATTTGTCTGTGCCAGACATTAGTACTCTGGAACGTAATGCTTGTGTATGTTAAAGTGACAGACAAAATATGTCTGGACCAGACATTTTGTGTCTGGGGCATTGTGGTCGTTTCTACAAAACGTACAGACAAACTTTGTCTGTGCCAGACATTAGTAGTCTGGGACGAAATGCTTGTGTATGTCAAACAGACAGACAAAATTTGTCTGTGCTAGACAACTTGTGTCCAGACATTTGGTTCTGACAAACGTCTTGTGTATTCATTGTAGGTATTCACTTTAAGATGATGAATGGCTTAGGGTCATGTTTGAAGAACGCCAGAGGTCGGTACCTTGTTACTTGAACCTACATTCTGGGTGGGTATGTCCACAACTCAACAAAGTGAGAGCATCAACGCTTTCTTCGACCTTTTTGTGTACTCTAAAACAGGTCTAAAACAATTTGTGGAGCAATATGGTCGTGCCTTAAAAATTTAAGGCCGAAAAAGAGTTTCAAGCGGACGCATACTCATTTTCAAAATTGATACCATGTGTTCGAAATTTGCAATGGAGAAACAAATGCAAGCATTATACACAATGGTGAAGTTCAAGGACTTTCAAGAGGAAGTGGTTGGCAAGCTTTATTAAGAGTGAACTTTTAGTTGGAATTTGAAATTACTTGTCATTGAAACTTGTGTATTTGTGTTATGTTTGATTTATTTCATAGCTTGCCAATTTCACACATAGTCATAACTATTGCACACAAAAATGTCAACTTTTGCAAGTTTGTCAAAATGGAGTACAGCGAGACAGAGAACTATGTTCATCTGACAGACATATTAACATACCCAGACAGACAAAATGGAATTTACTACACACATGTATAAAACTTCACAACTTAATTGCATTTTCTCAAATGTCAGATTAACATACAACTATGTTCATGTAACCACATTTTCTCAAATGCCACCTTTGTATAGTTTGTGACATATACAAAAACATAATGTTCCCACCAATCGTTGAACATTGTACAACAATGAACATTAAAAGTTGTACAATATTCCACACACATCGTAGATGGACATTCATAGTGTTTGCAAAGCTGAACTATTAACCCGACAAAAATAAATTCCCACGATTATGAAGAATTCCTATGATTCCTCCACCTTCTTCACTCCCCACAATCGAACAGCATATTGACATCTCTTGTTCCACATGTTGGCATATTCACAACCTGGAAGCAAGTTCGTCCTTTCCCATTAAAAGATGCTCTGCAAAGGCTGCAACTATCACTCCACACTCTCCTGACCTGTAGACAGACAAGTACAAAGAAGACATACATTTATCATATGCAGCCAGACAATATATATAATGTAAATCAAGTTTAATTTAATACCCTCCACCCTGTTGGAGAACACCCTGAACTCTTCCAATTGATTCTTTATCAACGCAGCTTTCACCAAGCTTACAACCTTTTTGAAATATGAGCACACAGAATACTGGGCTCGAATGTGCTTGCAAATTGGAATTTGTAGTTCGAATGCCCTGTATAATTAACACAAATGCAAATCAAAGATTTCAGACAAGTGAGACAACTCAAAAGGAAGGACAGACATTTTTATATCACTTGACATACAAGTATGTTCACTTGACAGACAAGCACACAACAATTTTAAGCAATTCCATATCACATGCACAACAATTCTATATCAAAATGAGGAGCCAGTCAATTTTAATGGTTTGTCATACAAGTATGTTCACTTGACAGACAAGTACACAACAATTTTAAGCAATTCCATATCACATGCATAACAATTCTATATCAAAATGAGGTGCCAGACAATTTTAATGGTTTGCCAGACAACTATGTTCACCTAACAGACAACTACACAACAATTTTAATGGTTTGCCAGACAACTATGTTCACATGATAAACAACTAGAAATGGCTTGCCAGACAACTCATTTCAAATGACAGACATCTCATACGCCTGGCCAGACCACTATAATGACATCACAGACAATTGCAAAAGTACTTTCAAGAATTCAAAACGAAGTCACACACACAACCAAAACAACCATGCACAGACAAGTTCAAAGTATTCACAAACACAATGACAACCTCTACTTCTCCAGTTATTTTACATGGCTCCATACGTAACACCAACATATAACATTAATATAAATTTGGTAATAGAACTAGTATTATGTGAAAGAAGATTGTACATTCACTAAAGCAAATGACATATTCAAAACTCTCTTGAATAGATTAAGTCCAAATAAAATCTGACATTGAGCAATGTAATTATAGAGAGCAATCATCAAAGGAGTATCTTTTCTCCACACAACCAGCAAGTTCAACTTGAGTCTCTTACTTAAAGTATATCTCTAAAATTAAAGACTAATATGGAGTATTGTGTATATATCTCAATAATAAACACAAAATTCATTTTAATAAAATGAAAGAGTGAAACAGATTTTTTAAATTGAAAAATGAACAATAAACACATGGATATGAATAAAATTTCATTCAATCATTTCAACAAGCACCTTATGAGCATAAAAGTGAAATATAATAGTTGAATTAAATTTTAATAATAAACCTCACAAATCTGGAAAGGAAAGGAGAAGATAAGAGATGTAGCAAAGAGGGAAGAAGTTGTTAACCAGATAAACGGAGTATTACATATGAAATAAAAAACAAATAAGAAAAAATGAAGAAAAAAAGGAAAGAAGGGATAGAGAGACATACTGAAAGGGTAAGATGCAGATAGGAGAGGTAGCAGAGAGGGAAGACACGTGTGCTCTCATTGCCGGTTCGTGCGGGTGTGACACCATTGCTAACGAAGGATGGATTTGGGGTGAGAAGAGGGAAGGACTACATGCCGGAAAGGTTGTCACTGGGAAGTCGGTTTTGGGGGTTGGTTTGAACTTTGAAGTCGCAGGGGTGCGGGAGTAGGGGCCGGAGGATTTGGGAGGAAGAGAAAAGAATTAGGGTAAAAATCTGAAATGGGGAGGGAGTGAGGTAAAAAACAATGGGGAGGATTTTATATGGGGTACAAATTGGGGTATAGTTGGGGTATCTGTAGCAAAATTCATAGAGTTAACTTCCGGACATTTTAGTGCAATTTGTGGACCAACTTTTTGTCCAAAAATTTGTGGACAGATTTGAGCGGGAATATTGGCCTTCATTCCACTTCGTTTTGTATATTATAAGATATAAGATAAGATTAGAATTATAATTAAACATTTATCATTTTGACTAGTTGATTATTATACATTTACGTTTCCTTCTAAATGAACTTCCTTTACGGAAGGATGTTTTAATACTATTACCTAATATTTTTGCTTATACAAGATACGAGTACTTGTATTTGTTTGTGTGTTTTGGAAACAAGTTAATCGAGTTTTAAATTGGTTACATTAATTTCCCACATGAAAGATGCAACCCGACGTGATTTTTTTGCCCAATACCCGACCCTACCCGACCCGTTCATGCATGGTTTACGAACTCATTTTGTGTACCGCGGGTTGGTTAATATCCAACCCGAACAAATCGGGTAGGCCCAAAAAATATAGCAAACCCGACCCAACCCACCCGATGTGCAGCCCTAATCCTTACACAACACACATGTTAATCAATTCTAAATGTTTCAGATTATCAAAATCTGTCAAACTATTTCTAAATGCAAGTCATGTAATAAAGGAATACTTTGCCGGAATGTAGGCTTTCCAAATAAAAGTCGTTCATGTCCTCTTAGTACTTCTGGGTTCGGAGTAAATCATATATTTTGGCAGACGATAATTTTCCACCCACACACATAGTTTGTGAATATGCGATCACCTCCAGAATACTCGTGAAATGGAGTATGATCGAGTCTCTTATCATGGTAATGTGCTTCATTAGTTGTGAATAAGACATTCTCCGCTATTGAATTGATAGGGCGTGTTATGCAAAGCTCGAGATATCTCATTCTATCTTCTTCATTTTTGTCTCTCAACCTAACATTCTCAAATGGGATTCAATTGTTAGACCAAACTGTAATCCAACAGGGTCGGCAACTCTAAATATGCACAGTGCACATACCCTAAATATGCACATTGTCAATAGAAAATAGTGCATTTACTCTAAGAGGAAAGTTCATGTCAGGCCGGCCTGACGGGCTGCTCCGTCCGGCCGAGCCCGTTTGGGCACCTTCCCGGTGGAATTTTTTGATGAAATTTTTTGAGCATGTTCCTCAGCAAGTCTAGTTTGTCCATACCAAATTTCAGCTCAAAATTCGATCGGGAAGGCATTCAAATCATTTTTTGAAGTTGACTGCAGTTTTATATGTATATTTTGACGCAGTCAACTTCAAAAAATGATTTGAATGCCTTCCCGATCGCATTTTGAGCTGAAATTTGGTATGGACAAACTAGACTTGATGAGGAACATGCTCAAAAAATTTCATCAAAAAATTCCACCGGGAAGGTGCCCAAACGGGCTCGGCCGGACGGAGGTTCCCGTCAGGCCGGCCTGACGAGAAGAGCACTCTTACTCTAAATAATCTATTTTTCTCTTTAATCAACCTACAGTCAACATATTTACTTTGTTAATACATTTCGAGCCCGTTTGGGAATACCAAAATCGGGCTGAATCGGTTGATTTCTGCTGAAATTTATGAAATTCTGGCTGAAGAGGTTGAATTTGCTTATTCTACTGATTTATTAATAAATTATTATTTTTAAATATATTTTATTAATAAAATAAAGAAAAATTATATGTAAAAATAGCTAAAATGGTCCTCAACAGTAACTTTATCCAATACAGCCAGAAAAGTAACTCCAACCTTATTTTTTCTTATCATTACGCAATTCAGCGCCCGAAATAAAAAATTATGTATTTGGTGAAAAAGTTGGTCGATAAACCTGATAAACCGAAAACTGGGTTACCAAACGGGCTTTTAGTATACAATGTATAAAATCTTAACCATACATTAATGTGTTCTAACTTTTTTATTTATAAATAACCATAATAACTTTAGAAATCAATGCCTTATACGACGTATTTGATATGATGCGTCGGTTCAAACTTTGAATTAGCGAATCTCAAATTCTTTTAGAAACAAGAGGTGGCTGTTGTAAACTGTAATAAAAAATATATATATATATATATATATATATATATATTATTTAGCTATCTAAAATAATTAATATTTTTGTCTTAATAATCTCACATGCACTCTTTTTTTTTTCCTTTTTCAATGTGAAAATGTTTTCTCCTTTTATTGGTTATTTAGAGTAATAAAATTTGACATTGTGAAACAAATTTTAAGTATTTACTTAAAATTGATCGCAAATAATAATATGTGAGAATATCGGGTACAATCTCTAAATATGAATCCTCTGATTCTTCACTTGCAATTTGATATGAATATAATTAAAGAATTTAATTTAAAATTAAATCTCTAATTCTTCAAAAAAAAAAAAAAACTCGAACGTTCTTCGATTCTTCGAATCTTCGTTCTTGAGATCTTCAAATCTTCGAACTTCGTTCTTCAGATCTTCAAATCTTCTTGAATGCAAAATTCAATATTGAAGGGCCTCCGGTTTCAAGTAGCTTGATCTTCAACAAAAGGGCCGTTATGTGGCTTGATCTTCTGTTAAAGGGCTTCCCGGGATATATGGCTTGATCTTCAATTGAATATTGATTCAATCTTCATATGAATATCTTCAAATCTTCAAAGATTCGTTCTTCATATCTTCGAATCTTCAAAGCTTCGTTCTTCAGATCTTCGAATCTTCAAGCTTCGTTCTTCAGATCTTCGAACGTTCTTCAACTTTTGACTTTGTTTGATCAAGAGTCGATGAAATCACAAAGGATTATTCATATATTCTTGACAAAAACGTGGCTTGATCTCTTCCTCTTCTTCGGAATCCTTCAGAGCCTTTCGGGAGTTCTTCTGGGTACTTAAAGCAAGTTGATCTTCGTCTGATGCTTTGATAGTCTTCAAAATCCGTGAAGATTCCTCCTTGGCCTTCGTAAGAGCTGCATCCAAGTCACTTGCCTCTACATGACGCTGGGAAATCAAAACTTCTATTTCCTTAGCTTCGGCTTCCAATAAGGCTATCTTTTTCTTGATTTCATTTAGAGATTTCTCATCATCAAGTAATGCGACTTGATTTTGAGATCTCTTAGCTTCAATATCTGCACAAAAAGCTTGCGACATAGCCAATTCCCGAGACTGCTTCTCCGTAGGGACCCTGTCAGCAATAGTCGAGCACTTTTGATCAAATGCTTGTGCTCTTTCAAAGAAATTCGTCACTCTTGTCTTCAACACGGAAAGGTCAATACCGTCCTTCTCCATCAGGATAACACAACTCTGAACATCCTCTCGAAGAGAAGAGACGTTCTCTGCTGTAGCCTTTTCTAACTTCTTTTGAATACCGCCCCAAGTTTCAATGAGGAACCGCTTATACAAAGTAAAGAAGTAGTTCTCTGCTTGAAAAATGGATACAGCCGGTTCAGGAGGGGATTTCAGTATCTCGTTGATTGGAACTTCTTTGCAATTACTGGGGGCAACTTTTGCCATCAACCCCGCAACGGTGTCATGATCATCAGTTTCTCCTTCACTTGAGCTAGATGAAGAAACATGATTTGAAGAACTAGCATCATCAAGGATTGGATGAATCTGCAAAAGAAGGAAGAAAGTATAAGTCCAAGCTTGAGAGTAAGTTAAGTCATTAAATAATGAAACTAACCCTTAGTGGCCCAGGATGAGGTTTTCTCTGGAGATGCTTCCAATTCCTATCATCATTACTCTGCTTCTCAAGAACTTGATTCCCACTAGCCTTAGCAGCAGGTGTTTCTTTCTCAGCATCTTCGATCAAAACTTCAACCCTAGGTACCGCCGCAAGCTTAGCCTTTTTCTGAGGCAAAGAGTTAGCTTCAGTATCAAGTGCCTTCTTTTTCTTGGAAACTGGAATCACAGGGTCTGGTGGAATGACCACATCACCAACTGCAGCATCACAAATCTTGATCAAATCACCCACACGATTCTCGAGGTAGCTACCATGAACTTGGCTCCACCACTCTTTGTACTCCAAGGAATAATACTTCGCTGGGATAGTCGGAGGAGTTGGAAACACTGCTTCAGCCCGTGATATACCATGCTCAAACTGTTGCCAGTATCGAAATCCAATAGCAAGCGGAACACAACGGTCGTGCTTTTCAATCAAACCAGGAGCGTAAGCTTGAAAGTAGCTAAACTGTCGACTAAATCGATGAGGAGTGTATGGCTCACAGATACAATGATTTTGATAGTGTAATATGAGGTAGTTTGATCGAAGGCTTCTGAAAAGTGGTAACTCAGCATCTGAAGGATTTTCCCCGTCAAAGAATTTGTAGTCTTTGATCCTCCTATGCGTGGAACATAACCATGCTGATACGTCACCTTGAAAAATCCTCTTACGCGCTCCACTTTTCTCAAGAGACCTCGCTCCACTTTCTCCCGAGTAAGCGATCATTAATGGGGTTGTGGACTGGATATCATTCTTAAAATGAGTATCAAAGTATGATGCCAACCATCCGTAAACATAGTGAACAGGAAAGCATGTTTTAACTTGATCGGGAGACGGAGCTTGCGAGATCTTATTCAGCCCATGATAAATACTGGCAAGTACTGGAACTGCAAGACATACTTTCCTCCCACAAGCCATCATACAAGCAACTTTAAAAATTTCCGGACGAATGACCCTCGGACCTTCGTGGGGCAATACGAAGGCGCAAAGCCAACATGATAAGAATGCTGCTAGGTATATCTCTTCCTCATATCCAGCTGGAATCTTTAGTGCGTGGAACGGCACCTTCATAGAATTTGACCACCCGCTAAACTTCGGAATTGCTCCGCTAGGATTATGAGTTGCCTTAGCACGAGATGATCTCTTCTTTTCTGTTCTCTGTGGAGGCATAGTGTACTTAGAAGCCTTCTTAAACCAAAACTTGACCCA